TATATATATATATATATATATATATATATATATATATATGTACTTTTAAGTTATATATACTTTTTATATATACTTTTATATTACTTTAAAGTATATATATATATATAATGCAAAATTTTCCATCTGTTTCTTGAGAAGTGAAGTTTACAAGAGCAATTAAATTTGATTAAAAGTCAAGTTTATGGCTTATGTAGACTGTAAATTAGATTTATGCAGTGGTAACTTAACTGTATACTGTTAAATCTGTAGTCTAGTTTCAAATTCGTAGTGCGAATCGAGCATCATAAATACTGTTTCCTCATTTCTTGATATAAATTGAAAATACAAGCAATTATTGCATCTGTAGACAAATATAATTTTCATGCTCAATTTGGTAACCATTTTTCAGTGCTCGGTCTTAATTCTATTATAACACTGAAACTGGAAATTTACTTATTTTTTTAGATTTTTAATGTTAGAGCATCTTGTTTTATCGAAAATTTGTCTACGCTTTATAGATTCTACATCACTCGTTTCTGCATTCATGTTGGAAATTGAAAATAGTTTTTCAAACCGATCTTGCTTTTATTTTGACATCTCAAATCTGCAGTGGAATAGTCATTTAGTTACTTCAATGGTTTGTTTCATTTTCATTTCTATTGATGAAATTATTTAGCGTTTACTCCTGGGACCATCTGAGTCGGAAACATAAGTTAGACATGGATTTTTTTCTAAATCTTTGATCGTTTCTGTTAAATTTTATAGTCTAGTTGTCTTCATAAACAGAGTTAGCTTTCAGATTAAACTTTTTTAAGGTATTATTAATTTTTTTGAAAAAGATGTAGTACGAATTATTAGTTTTTACTGTTGATAGAATTATTGCATATCTAGTAATGAGCTAAATTTCAGCCCCGATTTCACTTTACTTCAGAAAGCTTATTTAAATTTAGCGAAGCATATGATATTAAGCTCGTTAGTTTGTCTCGAAAAGCGAATCATCCATCCATTTTGCGCAAACATGTTGTAATGCCTCATCATCCTGGCAAGCTTTGGTTTATATACAGTAGTTTAATATATTTAAGTTGCAGATCGAAAAAAAGTAGGTTTTTTGAAATTTAATAATCGCAGTTATAAGAGTTATACGATACACTGAATAAATTTGAAATACAAGTACCGTTCAATAAAAAGTTGAACTCTACTTCAGTATATAAATCTCTATTTTCGTTTGCTTGAATGAAATATATAGCGAGGTGTGCAAGTTCTTTCAATATTTGTTCTATTTCGCTTTCTTGATAGTTGCGGTCACCTTATCATGATATTTTTTGAAAAATCTCATTTATAGATTTTTATAATGAGACGGTCATCGAACACGATTGCAAGCGAACTTGTTAGTTTATCCTATTCTTTTAAATATTTGATTTTCTCAGAAGGCTCGACCTTGTATCAAGTTTTGTTCATGGAAGCAACGAGGGTTGTTATAAGGAGTAACTGTGAATAAATATAATCCCTGTTACTTATTTTGTTTTTTGAAATTTTGGTGATATATTGCTAGAAAGCTATTCAATTTTTATTTTCCTTCAGCGAACTTGCAAGCTTCTCGTTGGACCGGTGGATTTCGGCGTATTTTAGTGCATTCAGTTGCAAGAACAATTCAAGTAGAGTTTATGGGTGCACCAGTTCACTACTGTTTTGAAGGTTACGAAATACGATTGAAAGATGAAAGTGGCCTAGAACTGCTTCATAGCGCAATAATACCTGTTGAATTAATGCGTAAAGAGTACCTTGATAATCAAACAGTTCTCTTTGGAGAGTATAACTTCACCGATTTAGAGGTAGTGCTTGCAAACAGTATAGTTTTGCTAACTACAAGGCATTAATTATATGATATTTTTTAACTAGTTGAGGTGGTTTTCTGATTGATTATCTCAAATGAATAGTATTCAGCTGATTCAGCTTCTCTAAATCTGAAAAATATTCAGCAGTTTCAGTTCTCCTACTTAACATGATTATCTTACCAAATAAATTGTTGATGACCATGCTCTTTTAGTGGTTTTAAAAAGTAGAAACAACGTATTTTAAAATCGTACTTATGAGTTCCCGAAGAAAGTTCAGGGTTTTACGTAGTGACAGTCCATATTTCGTCTTTTATATCTTTTATACATTAGAACTTCGTTAGCTTCTTAGATTTTCGTGGAAAAATTAGGAATAAACTTTCAGGTAGATCAGTATTTCATACCATCTGTTATACCTGTCGAGCGTTCCCGTGATGGTCGTTGTCTGTGTCCTGTAGCTAGTGCCAATCCATTTGACAGTCAGGTAGTATGCTCTTGTATTGCTGCTGATTGGAATAAAGTTCGCATTCAAAGTAAGTGGTCATACATTATATAGGAAGAAAATTATTTCGAAGTAAGAATTATAAGTATTATTTTGGCAGCTCATGTTCTTTAATTTGCTGAATATGGTCTTTCCTTTTCAAATTTATTGCTGATTTATCACATGTATTTTTTATATACCGAAGATGCTGGTGTTTATGAATAGGTGCTCACTTCTATCAGAGAAATACTTAATTTTAAATGTCTCTCTGATCAGAAATGTTAAAAACTTTACTTGTTTTTCTAGGAATAGGAAGATTCTCAGCAGCTACGACGGGATTGAGTCAAAATAATACTGAGATTTTACTTGCTGACCGCACTTCATCTGGTTGTATACGGTAATTTTTGAATGAAGGACATTATGCAGTGTTTAATCATAAATCATTATGTCGTTCAAATATTTTATATCAGGGTCAGAGCTTTACGGGAAATTAATAATTTTATTTCTTGTGGTGGGATCAACAGTACTGCAATCATTGTCTAACATTAGTTTTGAAACCAAATGGGAACTCTCTCTTTTCCTTTGTAACTTGCGATTTTTGTGTATTCATACGCACTTTTTGAATATTGAAAACATATATTTATAACGTGAGGTGCTCAGCGGAGTTCTCGAGCGGTTGACTCAGAACTGCTCATTTGCCCAGCTGTTGAATTGTATTACACAATACGAAATGGAGGGTAAGCAGATAAAAACCGAACTTGGAATCATACCTGAAAACTGAGAAAACAAATGAGGTTGTGAAAATCTCGATGAAAAATGTGAGGGAGCACTCGGCTAGCATACAGGAACCAGGTACCATCAGGACGCTCGGAGCACCCACTCAAGGAATCGTGGTTCCGCAAAGCAGCTGACCAGGCAAAGTGCTGAAATCGGTTCTTGACCGTTCTGTGAGGATACTGAGAGGGGATGGCCTTTATGTCGTTCCTTGTATAGCGAAAAGTTCGTGTGTGCGTGCGGTTATCCTCTAAGAATTGAGGAAGCAAGCGAATTCTGCAGGCTTTCATTTCCGCAGAAACGGTTCTTGGAGAAGTCTACAAAGCATTTCAAGACACAAGAGGCCTCTAACAAAAAAATACGCCTCATGGATTTAAGGTTTATCCGAGCGTAAAGCAGAAGTACCTTGTACTAACTCAAGAAGTTCAAAAACGTGAGATAAACAGACAAAATGAACGCAGAAATAAATCTCAGAAATTGGAAGTAAATTCAAAAATTACAAGTTTCGATGTGCATTCAACATCCAAAACCCAGATCTGGACTATTCAGAAAGCGGTTCTACACAATATTGACAGAAGAACAACGTTCTATCAACAATGCAGGGACGAACAAAATCAGGATGTCCTAAAAATGGAAATGTGAGAGTATCTAGAAAAATTCGTTTCATAATATGAAGTGCAGGATGCTCTCCCACATGAAGCTAGATTTGAAAAGATGTTTGCCTTTTTGCGTCATTGAAAGTACCTGGCTCTGATGGAGTTTACAACTTCATTAAGAAGGCAGATTTGCTTATATATATAATAATTTTATTATATATATATTATAAATTTTTCGCAGTTAATGTTAGAGTTGATACATGACAAGTTTATGTTTCGTTATAATTTAGCTTTTTGAAGATAACTCTGGATATGGCAAAAAAAAATATTTTTTGTAATTTTTGTATAGAAATTTAGAGCTCAAGTCTTTGTAGGATTATATTATTGGCAATAATGCTTGTCGGTGCAAGTGTTGTGATATTTTGTTTATTTTATTTTGCGTATTTGTATAATGTTCGCCATCAGCTGACTCGAAAAGCAATAAGAATACGATTTGTAATAGATCGTCCGACTTCTCCAACAACTTTGACCAGTTGCCAGTCACCTCTTATTCACATCGGTTTGATTTCTCTTGAGCAAAAAATGCTAATTTGTTTTTTAGTCACAACCTTACAACATTTTTAGAGTGGATTTTTGAATAATTCACTAGATTTCAATTTCTTTAATTTCTAAAGACATTTTCACAAACATTTCTAGAAAATCGAATTATAATATGATGCCTAACATATTTGACAACTATGTAAATGATTCATTGCTGTTGGTTAGCAATATTTTAAGCTACGCGTAATGTATTGCTCGTGTATTCGCATGACAGTACTCTGCACGAAAAGTGTGTTCTCATTTTCGCTGAATACTTACGTAACGTTTTTGGTTTCAACGTTCACGTAAGTTGCTTTTTAAACTGGCTGCTAATGGTTGAAATTTCTCATTTTTTCTACCATCTTACTAAATGTCTGAAAGTAATTTTAAAAACCTTTAAAAAAGATTTAATCTAATGAAAATGACGCTGAATCTTCAGCTTGATGTTTGGGATGTATCTGAAATTGAACGGAACCTTGTGAATTACTTAAGCTCATCAATTTTGAGTGCTGATAAATTGATTGTTATCAATTCTCATGGAGCATATTATCATTATCGATGTAAATTGGGAAAACAATATCGTATTGAACGAAACCAACCTGATATACTGGACAGTTTGTTTGACAAGCAAATTGATCAAGTTTTAGTGTGAGTGGAAATGATTTAATTTTGTTAAATTTTGTTGATAATTATATCATCACAAATAGTCCATCAGTATGTGACAATTGTGTGAAAAAATTTTTTTTTGAGTTATGCAGATTTCGTCAAGATTCTGATTTTTGTCGCAAAAATTGAAGAGTCGCAGAAGTATTTGAAGTTTTTGAGGATTTTTAGAAAGACTGTTTGGAAGCATTTTGGTTGATTAGACGGCATTTGATACCAGCAATCTAATATTTTAGTTCGATAATTATTAGTAATATGTAAAATTAAAATCAGTTGCAGAGATCCTTCACTTATTTTTAGAAGTCCAAAGTAAAATATATTGAGATGTATTAATATTAATAAGTTGAGTTGATGTCATGAATTAAAAACGCTATATAGATCATTCAGTCAGAAATGAAGTTTTAATCAAGATTCTCAGTTTTCCCACTCTTATCAAGGACTCGAAATTTTTTAATTCGGTTTTTTAATTTAGGCATTCATCGGTGATATCCGCGCGATTTAAATACTCTCATAGTTCATGCATTTTACCACCATTAAGTTGCTCATTGCAATACGTGATTCCGGAACACACCACTGCTTTAATTTCGAATTTAACAGATTCCGATGTTAGTAATGACCCACCAATTCAATCGTATGGTCCGATCTACGCAAAATTAATAGCTGCCATTACCGAGATGACAGAATATCTCGAGAGAAATCCAAACTGGTTTAGCAGCACTCATCGACGTGTATTACGACAAACAGTAGTTGATGGTGGGCAGGATATTATTCAAAATGAATCAATTAAGCCTGTGAATCGAAATGAAGCCGGTCAATCATTTATCAGTGATAATTTTATGACAACGTTTTCGACGAAATCAGTATTTACGTTAAAATTATCAAAGGAATCGGGGTTGAGTATTCCTAGATCTGATCAATCTGGAATTAGCAGTCTCTTGACAGAATCTTCGGATGTACTGCTGGAACCTGGTGGCTATACTGTTTTACACGATTCACCTGAGGAAGCTGTTAGTTGTGTAAGTGGAAAAAAACCTGATTCCATAAGTGACTTCCCCGTCAGTATATCATGTGAAGTGCCCGAAAAACAAATGGGCGGGAATTTAACACATGATTCTGGTTTCATTTCTGAGAGAGATTTTCTAAATACATAGTTGACTTCGGTTGCATACGAAGTAGGCATAATTCACAAAGTCAGTCGCTATAAGCTCGTAGATTATTCACTACACAGATTGTTCATGCGAACTGAATCGTGCGACAGCAGTTGAAAGTAGGTCATGTTTTGTGGTGCATGCATGGTTCTTTTCATGAACTTTTTCAGTTTTTAGAAAATAGAACCAAGACAAATCAAACAGAATTAGTAAACCACTGTTTTAATTCGTGGAGAGATTTTTTTTTATTTCTCCATATCTGACGTTTTGAAATGAAAGAGGGTTGCAACAGTTGTGAAAGATAAATTACATGCAAAGAAACGTGATTAAGGACATGCAAAGGAATGTGGCACAAGACATGGGGCTGCATCGAAATCTCCCAAAACCTTGCTAGTAGGTATATTTTTCTACTTTTATTGTCCGTGGAGTATGATGTTACTTCCTTTGCTAATGCTGTATTGTTGTTTTTGATATGAATAAATGATCTCGGATTAAATTCCATTGGTGTTTTCCATATTGCATACTTCCAGGCTTTTTTTTTCGGCTTTTTGTGATGAGGGTACATATGTTGCGTACTACTTTATCTGTGGGGAAATGCTCTCGAAAAGCAATCATGTTTGCCAGTTGTTAATCTGCTGATAGTTTTTGATATCATGATATGTGAATTTAGATACTGGATTTTTAAATTTAAATCCCCTGATGTAAGCTTAGTATTTGTAAAACAAAGTCAGTAAATGATTGGGTGCTGATATGTTATTGTACTGACTAGTTGTGCACGACAAAATTTTAAGATGAATGCTGCATTTGGTGTACTGTCAATTTGATGTTTTAAACCGAATTCGAATAAGTTAAATTATTCAACACTTTGTTACAGTTATCTGTCAGAGAATGCTTTAATGAGGATACTGGAACGATGGTATTCTAGCTGTCTTGTCTTTTTCCTGCATTTTTTATTCATGAGGTAGCTGAACTTTGTACAACGTAATAAATCGATGATACAGGTTGTAATCGAAATCTTAAGATCGCTTTATTTCTGTCGGAGATCATATACAATGAATACTGGGGTTCCTATCGTTCTATGTGATAGGTCTGAAAGGAGTGTTTAAAGAAACAAAAGCAATGTGAATGAAATTTGAAGGACAGGACAGCATTGTAATAGCAATGAAGTTGCGAGGTAAATGTGAGTATGGTGATATCGGATGTGGGCAGTGGTGTGTCGCATAAATAATATCCACTAACCAATATGTAGGATGAAAGACCTAATTATAGAACTGAACCAATAGGTAACACACAAAATTATCAAAGTACAAAATAAAAGTGTCGAGACGTAATACACGACATCCTAAGCTTCAAATAGTTCAGAGCAGTATGTGCGAAATAGGCATTTTCTGATTACTTCACATTTGCTATTTATACAGCAGGGCTGCAATGAGTTGAATTATGCGATACTGAAGTTAGGATTGTACGAAATAGATTTAGAAATGGTACTCAACAGATTTGTGGCACTGACTTCTTTCTTCAGTCAAAATGTAAACAAGCATATAGATATGCTTTACAACAACACACTGACAGATAACTAATTACTGCTCATCAAAAAAGGGAAGACATTGTTGTGATGCCAAGATAGCTGCTGCTTTGAAATCCATGGCACAGCTTACACAGTCTTTGAACCTGGAAGAAAAGAAATAAACCCGAATGTATGCATATGTATATACATGCAAATAAGACAAACACATTCCTGCTTCATGAATTTTATATGGAAGTAGAACGTGTTTCAGATAACGCCAGCATCTTTAACGATGTCAAGTATTTACACAAACCAGACCACCCAGGATGTTTCGCGCAGTTTACACTCCCTCCCAACATGTTCTTACTATCCATCACCTCAGACCACCCATATTGCTGTATCTACTCATCTATTTCATGTGCCTCGGGAAGGGATCGCAATTGTCTGCCACACCTGGCTTCAACACACGAAAGACTTGCCTGTTACTCTATACGTTGTTATCCAGGATAAACCCACAACAAGCCTGAAGACCAGCTTTCCACCCCAACTTTTGTGCCGAACTCATTGAGCTCAACTCTCCCTTTACTTTATTTCATTTAATGTGAAATAAAAGACCCCTCAGCTCCATGAAAGACGTTTTTTCTCACATATGTCTAATTATGGAATCATAGAACTGAATACAACTGTTTATTCCTTTTCAAATATGCAAGATCCATGTCCTTATGTCTGAGATCCGAGAAGAATAAAGGGTTTCGTCTTTCCTGAATAACTTAAAACCCTATTCTTGCAGCAGTGGAAAAGTAAAACTTATTAACAAAGCTTAAGCTATGGGAAAGTTTGCATTATCCCTGCATGGACTCGATCTCTAGACCAAAATATAGTCGTTATAGATCACTGATTTCGAAATGACTTTATTTGAATTAGAAGCCTCAAAGCCACCCCCACCTCCTCTGTTCAGAAAAGTTCAGAGTGAAAAACTACAATGAATCTATGCGAAAATAATAAAAAATGCAAAACTGTATTTTATTGCTCCGAACTTAAAAAACAAAATCTAAAAATGAAGCGTGAGCTCTGTATATAAATTAAACATAAATGATGGGAAAACATTTGCAATTGAATAAATATTCTATGATTAACCAACTCCTGCAAAACAAAAAGGAGATAGATGTTGTATTTCTATTCCGTCCTCGACCACAAAGAGGAATTTCCTATACATGATAGTCGTCTAGATCACTGATTCCGATGGGAGTAAATGTTGTCAATTGTTTTTGCTTCACCTCTTCAAATTGGAAACCAACCCTTGAGGAATCGCAGCAGTAACGTAAATTGAATTTTGACATTAACCCTGCAAAAATGATGCTCAAGGATTTATGAGGAGTATATTTAAAAACATTGTGTGAAATAGTATAGCAAATAAGTGGTAATTATGATGTGACCAACATAGAAATTCTGGAACATTGATAACCGCTCATCTTTTAATTTGAACGATCCATGCCTAAAGCATAATTTGCTTGCATAGGTAAATCATCATTATACAACAGTGGTGATGTCGATATCAAGCTGATTTCGAACTGCAACATGACTGGATTTCATTCCAAGAAATCTTTCACTCAACTTTTTATACATACATCTAAAATCTTGTTATCCTTGCAGTGTTTATTGCAAAGATCAGAAGTTGAACATTTTCTATCTCATACGCTTGTAACTCTGCCTTATTACTTACATTATTCTCATTAATCCCAAATCTGAGACCATCATCATCATTGTGAATGAATATAGTTTTTTAGAAACAAATGGAACTTGAGCTATTTTAAAAAAACTTAACGGTTTCAAAAATATTGAATAATCAGCAATGTTGTACCATGTTTTTCAAGAGACTCATTTATTTATATTTCAAGTAAGTCAATAAGTTTTCTCACTGATAACCTTAGGGTGGTTACCATATTTGCTATTAAAAATAGAACCAACTTTACCACTTTCACCACCTGTATTTATTCAGACATTTAATAGCGTAGTTACTGCAGATAAACAACACTACACACGAATCATGACACTAATATGAAATTCTTAATGAATAGGAGAAGTAAAAATATGCAATTCTTACCACACGAAGACCACGCTCTATAGGATCTGATAAGTGCACACCTGCCGGCAAGTAAATGTTTTTGTTTTCGTCTGCCAAAAATCGACTTATTTCCAGCAATGATTTTTCATATTGTGTCTATAGAACAAAATCTACTAAAATCGACTAAATAGAGGCCAGAAAGAGAATGATAGATTGAAAAACTTATGCGAGTAGTGCATATGATCCAGAACAAAAGAATTTTAATCATGCTCTAGCCGTAATCGCAAGTTTTGATGGACAAAAGATGAGAATTATATCTTGCACTCACTTTTCGCGTGGACTTCCTGCTAAAAAAAATTTAATACCTTGGTACTTCAACATCATGAATCGAGGAAATTCACACCATATTATATGAGGGAATGGAGTACTCACGGAAATTAATAAACAAACTTTTGTGAACAGCCTTGAAACATAACACGAAAGACAGCCAGTTAATGTTTCCAGTACCGTAGTGCAACAAATCTCTTCAGCTTTACTGTAGTAGCTATTGAGCGTAGTGACGGTATGAGTCCAAGCTTGTTCACTGACCTGAAAGACTATGCTTCAGGTATCAGCCTAATTAGTGTGTTACAACGGTAAACTTTACACTCAGCATTTATGTTGTTTTGATTATGATTATAAATAGGAACACTATTCCAGCAACCGACTTCCTTGTTCCTGCGAGATCTGTCAGATCCATATCTTGAAACCGAAAAATCTTAAATTTCGAAAGCAAACAATACATAAGAATGAGATAAAAAGAGGTAATTTGACAACTCATCCATATAACTTTTAATCGATATTAATCGCATAAAATTCTTACCTTTCCTTCAAGAGCAGCTGGAAAATTAGTCTCAAACTGAACACTCAATCCTTTGGAATAATCTCGTTGGACGAAGATTTTGTTACAGGTATTAAGTGGTACACGTACCTCATCGCCTCCCGAGTTCATCCCTTGACTAGGCTTCACTGTCATGAGGATTCATGCGAATTCTCAGAGATGGTGTTTTTCTCTCGTTCAAAAACCACACTCAATTAATCCAATCCAAGTTTAAGCAGTACACCACGAATACTTAGTATAGCCTTCAATTAGCGTTATCAAACACTTTGTATCTCCGATGTCATGCCTTTTACAATAGCTAATTAGCTCAAAACCTATCGCAATAATGACTGGAGCAGCTGTTTCGTTATAGTTCACACAATTAAATGCAAGATGTCTTCTCTTCTACGTAGACTATGATTACAATATCCTTTATCTTAGTGTCTTAATACCCAAATTTCGCTTAAGCATGCAAAGCATTGCTCTGCAACAGTTGATTGGTTATTCTTATAGGTCATCTTCGCCAATTTCTTGTCTAATTGTACATCTTGGTACTCAAGCGCGTCTTCAGTTTAATGAAGACTTCAATTTGATGAAGCAATTTCCCGTATACAACTTTATATTGCGTGCTTGGATGAGAATCACAAGCTGTACAGCGATAGTATCAGTTGCGACATCTTCGCTGTCAGCGAATAAATGAATAATTGGTTTGTTGTTCAGAGAAAGCCAGTCATGCACACTCACACATTTTGCCACTACTACTCGTGGTCATTCATTGCTCAGTCTTTATAAACATTCTCTGTTTACTAAGCAGTAACTTAAGTTATGCACTGACTGATTCGTTTTTTTACGATTTTATGCCCGTTACTTGATCATTTGGAAGTGATCAAACTAGATCAGTATTTGAACAAAAATTTGAGACCGATAAGTTGTAATATTTGTCACATTTTGTGTAATAAAACTTGATACTAGTAGTTAGTTCATGGTTTGTAAACGTTTGTTCCTAAACAGAAACACGAGCAGCAAAACAAATTGTTCGGTGCTGCAAAGAGCTATTTTATAGTGAAAGTGAGTCGAACAAATTCGCAACTTATATGACTGTGACTAGGATTTCTGTGAACAAGGCAACAGTCAAGCAAGTATAAAGAATCACAGAGGCAAATTTATGTAGGATTTGGTGTGTGAAATTTGTTCCCTACGAGTTTTTGTGTTATGAAAAACCACAGCTGACTTTTTTGTAAAGGCGATTTCTGCTTGCTTTTATCTTTTCATTAATTATCAATACAAGTAGAGCTGTACTGAAGAATTTGACTTCCCTTATAATCAGAATTATGCTACTTTAGTCGTACTCTAATTTTATTTTCGGGCTAAGCTAACTCAAATTTTTCATTAGAAAGCACCCTTCAACTTTTTCAGTTTGGTTGCGTGCAAGAATTGTCAGAAATAAGGAGCGTTTTACAGAAGTCGAACTATGCATTAATCAGCTTTTAATTTTATAATGACCTTACTGTTGCCATAAACAGTACATTCATTACATTCATATGATGGTGTAATGGATGACAGTGGAGAAAGCATAAACTGTGACCATTGTGCAACAAGCAGAAATGGACTACGTGAAGAGAACATAGACATTTGATTTACAACACATATCAGAGCACTGTACTTTGCAATGTTGTTTCTAAAATTTGCTCGATCTTTTCTACATTATTAATTAGAAAATGTGTTGCTGTTATTTGCACACTCAGCTAATGTGTTATGATGAAGATTTTGTACAGTCAGTAATTTTCGACCAATGCTGACAATTATTATTGTCTGAATGCACTTCTGGCTTTGATTATCAGCTTAATGATGGAAGATGAATACAGTGAATTGTTGCCAGTCCGATCTCGTTTACCATTTTTAGTGCACGAAAGTTTAATATGTTACGACAGACAGTTTCCTTCTGGTTTTCTTTTCGTAATTCTTTTTTTTAATCCTTCTCAGTTTCCGGTATAACTGCTGATTTGAGAACTACCACTGCATCGTTTACAGCAGTTGCATGAGCCAAGTGCAGATTATGTTTAATCCTTGGTTAAATTATTTGTAGTTCTTTTTTTATGTTTAAGAGTGGGAAACTTTTGTCCTCATTCCTCTCATACTACTTCATAAATTTTCTGGAATATTAATAATAACACCAAAATTTTTGATTCTCTAAATGTACATGGACGAAATTATTTTCTAGGCAAAAGCTGCATCTTAAATGTGGAAATCATCTATTTTTTTCCAAATTTTGTTTGTTTGTTTGTTCAGGTCACCCATATGTTCAATAATCAATCATGAGAATCAAATACCTTTTTGGGCCTGTATCTATAATTACTTTTTGAAAATTTTTTCAATTGAAATTGTGCTATTTCCCGTTTTTTCGTTTTTTTTCCAATTCTATCCATCAATATTCTCCCCTCGTTTTTCTCTGTTTCAAAGTGGACAAAGTAGCAAATCCAATACGATTGGTCTATTAATAATTAATAATTCTTTACAACTACTATTCTGTACAGCTTATTGATGTTTCCACGATTTGTTATTATCACAAAGTTTATCATATCGGTGGTTATCTATGGGTGTGCACCACCTGGACTTATTTCTAGTCAAGATTCAAGTTTGTCTTACCACTTTTTGTGCTTTAGTGTATCGATTTCAACGTTCAGCATAAACATGACTATTAAGTTGGCAACATTCGTGCCCATAATTTCAAAAATTTTGCCTTTATCACTAAAATAAATCCTTAGTACTTCCTCTATATGAAGGGGTTCCAAAAATTTATCCACAACCGCTAGTTCATTCTATGATAGATGGTATAACGTGTCTTACAATCAAGAAGCCGTATTTTTAATGACATTTTATTAATTCAGAATTAGACCAATTACTTTACAAATCAATCTTTTGGTTGCGTTAAAGAACTGCATTCAAACAAGTATGAATTATAAGTCTTGGTAGTAAATTACTGATCTGTACAAAGGCTAGAAATACTGAAATGTTTTTAAATTCAGTGTTTTAATGTTGATATGAAGGCACATTGGATTATTAATTTAGTCAGTAAAGTAATAATTTTTCTTGTAGCTATCTCAATTGAAGTGCCATTTGACGGCTCGAATGTCAAGTTCTTAGAACTTATTTTTTTGTCCTGATAATGTCATTTTTAGTTCAGAGTATCATTATCTTTTTCTACTGTTATTATTATTACAAATTTAAAAAATTGTGGAGGTTAGTTTTAATTTTCGCTTTATTGGTTCTGGCGCTGGATCGCATTTCGGCACTCTGGCAGTACTTGTCCCACGCTCAGATTTGTTGTGCTCATCGTTCTCGCTTTGTCCTCATGGAATCCATATCGACTGTCGAAGGAGATGCTTTCGAGCGTCTTCATGAGAACTATCGATTGGATTGTATGCCTCGACGTGGTCTGATATACTGATCTTCTTCGCATAGCGTTCGTGCAAGTCGTTACAATCCCGTCAAGTCATCACATACTGAATTATTTTGGTCCTGCATTTCATCTCTGACCCAAGCTTATTAACAAGTATATCATATTTCCGCTCTATTTTCCTTTATAAAACAACGGATTCTGTTCCGCAGACAAGTCCTTCTTACTATTTTGTACAGTTCTGAATGCAAGGAAGTGCACTTAATGAAAAAGTTATAGACTCCATCAAGCCCTGCCGCTTTCCAAATGGGCAAATACGAGACTCTCTTCCCAAATTCGGCTTCAGAGGGAAAAGTGTGATGCATTCTATCATCTGGAACGAATTCTTCCAGATATAATATGTGTTAGATATCATCATACTTTCTCCATATCCCGGAGTTTCACATCGTACCCCCGAAAATTCCTAATTTCTTCAGTCCATACATTGTGGTTAACG